TCTATGTGGCTGCCAACCAGGTCAGTTGGTCGTCACTCTCACTGTCAATTGTCTCTCTTGCCTCTCTTTCTTACAGCCTTGACTGACAACGTCTCACATACAACATTCACCTTTCCTTCTTTGAAAGAACCTTATCGTGTAGGCTACTCGACATTGACAGAGGGACGATGTTGGCTTCTTGGCCTTGATCCGCGACTGTCCAGCGAAGTGAATTAATGCGGTACCAGCCCAATCCAAGCCAGAGAATGGATTTGAAATCAAAGAAATAGAATTTCGTGTAAAGTACTCTGCAGAAAGAAGGAGACAAAGTTTGCTCAGATACATATTTTCTACCTGCACTGTCATTTGGCGAGTTGCTTCTGTAAAGCATTCGCCAGACCCGGGACACGATAGTTGTGTACAGTCATATGTTATCAGATCGGTCACGTGCCGCCGCTGTATCCACGCCAATAGATCATTTATCTTCTGCTCCTCGCCTCTGGTCATTCATTGATGCAAGACCTCCAGGACATCAGTAGTCACTCAAGGTCCACAGGCGTCCGAGTGTATAATCACACGATCGAGCCAATTACCAAATAAAGAAGGAGAAGAAGAAAAGCGACTGTCCCGCAGATTGTTCACCTCCCAGGGCATCCGGCTGGCGCTTATGGAAACGTCAAGGAATTGAAGTATATCTCATTTGCGACTCCTTAGGAGATGGGGTATATACATAGACGCGTGACATTCGCCTCTGTCATAGGTGCCGCCTCCTTGTCTTCATTCTACTGGCTGCTCCTCGTTTGCGAGCAGTGGGGGCTCGATCACGGCAGCAATCCGCTCGAAGAGCGTGAGCGCCAGGTGCGTGTTCGGCCCGGCTGCCTCGGGGGCACAGAAGGGGGCCAGGATGTTTGTCACGCACTCCAACTGTTGCTCCGGGTCGCGTGAGAGGAGCAGGCCCCGCACGAATGCCGGGGCGCAATACAGCACGCGCTGGCGCAGGCGCATCCAGTTGGCTGCTTGCTGCGCATCGTCCGGATCAGGAAGCGAAGGCGGTAGGTGCCCATCCGGAAACGCGGCGAAGCGCATATCGCGAAGCGCATGTGCGAGCTGCGGCGTGTCGCGCAGCGTCGATTTGATGGATCTGCGAATATGCCTGTTTGTAAGTCCGCAAAGCACAGCATCAGCATCGTTCGGCTTGTCTGGACAGCGTGCCTGGCGGCTCACCTCTCCACCATACTAGACGAGAATGCTGCGACGAGCCGGATCAGCAGCGTGATCGCCTGGCCCATTAGTGTCCGGCTAAGCAACAATGCCTCGACGACAAAGGTTAGATAAGCATGCACGAAGGTTCTCTCCTTTGCATCCTCGCTGCGCAGGCAATCGTGGGTTGGCATCCGGCGTGTGCGCTGGGGATAACGTCCGTTGACCATGTTGCGCATGCTGGTACGCTTCCGCCTTGAACTGTCCGCAGCAGCCGCAAGCACGCCCTCCATCGAGTTATCCCCCATGTCCTCCTCCTCCCCTTCTGTGATGGGATAACCGTCGGCTTGAACTTCGGCTGCGCTCTCCGTGTCCGCGGCCACCCAAACGCTCCAAGGCCTGCCACCTGGCGTCCTGCTCTCGAGCATTGCAGTCGTTTCGCTAGCCTGTTGTCTCTCCGCTCGCGCCATTCTTCGCCCACGCAATCCAGATACGGAGATCTCCCCCAGCATATCAAAGTCGCCCTTCCCTTCGGCGAAGTCTGGAAGCGCGCCAGTTGGTACGTCCGTGTCGAACCCGGGGATATTGGCCTCCAGCTCGAGGCTCCTCAGGTGGCCGGCACGCGAGGCGCTGCTTTTGCTGCTCGAAGTGATGAAATTCAGGTCAAAGAAACCAGAGTAGAGGGCGGCAGCATGTGGCACCATCATCACGAAGAGGGCTTGGAGCAGCGCAAGGAAGCTCTGTACAAGCGAGTTTGGCGTGAACATGGCGGTTTTCGCTTGACCCCGCAGGGCGTCTGTCGCATCAAGGCACTTCGCTCCCTCAGCCTGCCGACTGTTGCGAACGAGCTTCTGCTTCTCAGTGTCCCAGTCCGCTACTCCAGCGGCGTCAAGCGCCTTGTTCAAGCTTTGTACGATGAACCACGGCCTGCTAAGCCTTCCAAGCACAGTCCTGAGCACGCTGACGATGACGTCCCGCACAATAGCGCGCTCCGTGTCCGGCGCCGTGTCCTCAGGTGGCAGCAACGAGACAAGGAGGGACTCGGTCAGGGTCCGGAGATAGAGCTGCGAGATCTTGCCAAGCACCGTGCCTTGGGGAGCAAGTGCTGGATGGGGGTGGGATGCGGCGTGGCACACGGCAAGCTTTTGAACAGGGGTGCTTGCACCATCGGATGAAGGGAGGTATGCAGAGTGAGACCTCTCTTCGGCCTCTCGAAAGCCTTTGACATGATTACGCAAAATAAGTGGCAGTTCTGTGCAGACAAAGGCCTGCAATTGGCTGCTTGAAGAGGGCTCGTCGTGTGCTTGAAACCGCTGCGTGACAGTCCTGAGGACCCGGCCCAATATACGGTGCACTTCACCCAGCAATTGCCGATCCGGAGTAAGTTTGCTGTACCACGGCAGCACGGTATCCCGCATCAGGAGTGCTAGAAGCATTGCGCTCTCGTGGTCGAGTGCTCGCAGTGCATCCGCCTTGGCATCTTCCCTCGGATCTGGCGACACGAGGAGGTCGAGAGGCAGCAAGGCGGAGATCGAGTCATCATGCCCAAGAGACGCATGCAGCGTCCGTCGCACAAAAGCGACCTCTGAGCTGGGAGGAGGCCAAAGAGATGCGGACGATGTCTCTTCACTGCGCACCGATGCGGCACTCCTATCGGTGTTGTTGGCGTCCATGCTTGAAGCTAGTGTGCTACGGTCTGTCTTGCATCTTCCATCCCAGGCAGCGCTGCTCCTGAGTGGCACAGCTCGGCATATCCTAAAAGAGGCGTGTCACCTTGTCGTACTGACGATGCCGTCTGTCTGCAGGATCGCCCGTATTGGAATGGGACCTTAAGTCGTTCATACGTTTAGCCTGAATCTGGGTCGGGTCGTTGGGATGATGGCAAGCGAGTTAGACTGTGCATTTTCTATACCCTGTGGTGTTCGTTGAGCGAGACTTATGCAGCGCGGAACCAACACTACACCCGAGAGGTCCGCAATTCATCACCCCATCGAGAGAGGTCAACCAAGGAGGCTTTGGTTCGTCATCCATGGGTCGCTAAGCTGACGAGGATTCCTTGCAGATGACCTACTCTCATCCCCTTGTCCTCGTTATCCCTTGCATACGTCGTGAAAAGGGTGATCGGGTCGAAAGGGTTCGTCAGTCGGTGCATTCTACATTGTCTACTGTCATACGACGGCATGGAGGATCCTTTTGACATCTGGGGTGCTCCGGTCGAGGCGTCCACGAGCTCCCGTGCTGCTGGGGGGCCTTATGGAGCCATCAATGGCACCAAGCTGGCTGCTGGGAAGCAGACGCGTTCTGCAGAAAATGATTTGTTCTCTCCTGACACCGCTGGTTGGGGGATCGCATCACCGAACGTAGCTCCAGCGACGCCAAGCACTGCAGACCCACGGCAGACCTTTTCGCGAATCGCAGCCATCGCTGACGATGCGCCTTTGCAACCGCCATCAGCCCTTGCAGCGGCAGCAGCACTCAACTCTAGTGATCTGATTACGACACCCCCCTTTAGCTCGGTGCCAACTGAGAACCTGGTCTCGTCTCCAGATCGGCGGCCAAGTCCGCTCGAGAAAAGCGATCTACAGCTGTCGACGATGACGGCACCGACGACGCCGGACTCGGAGTTGGCATACTACCACGCCCAAAATCCTGTGGCTCTCGCCCGTGCGAATGCCGCGATACACAAGCAGGTGCCAGACCTCACGCTGCCCCATCCGTTGGAACCTCCTCCCGCATTCAACCTTGAGCAAAGTCCAGCCCTCCATTCCAAAGATGCTGCCAAGGGTAGCGAGACATGGCCTAGTTTTCCGAAGGAAGAGAAGGATACGGATGGAGGGTTCGACGACTTTGATGACTTTGATGATGCTCAGGATGGGACTAATGGCGGAGATGCTTCTGGAGCGGTCGCAGATGACTTTGGAGATTTCGACGACTTTGATTCCGGAGAGGCAGCACAAGCCCAGGCGGCCGAGTCAACGGCACTTCGTGCTGCACCAGCAGCCGCTGCAGTAGCGCAGACTGAAGCATCGATCAGCTCGGCTCGATCGGCTAGCGCGACTGCCATCCTTGGCCAGCGAGCTCTCGACGTGCGGCCAGGCTCCACGAGTAGCGAGCTGATACCACAGCTTCGAGAGCTGTTCGCGGCACCGTTCGAGCCGGATGGAGAACGCTACCCGCTGTATGACGCAGCCGAAGCGCAGCTCAGCAAAGACGGAATTCGGCAAGTCGGCGGCCTGCGCCAGGTGCTAGTGACAGAGGAACTGTAAGTGAAGCTGCCAGAGTCTCAATTCCTTTGTAGCGTGCTCATCTTCCATTACCATGATACAGATGCAAATTGTACGAGACTCTATCCATGATGCCCAGTCTTGCTCCAGTAGGCTGGACACGGTCACGCACAAGACGAGAGCATCTTGTCTCTCTCGGCGTACCGATCAATTTGGACGAAATTCTGGACGGGGGGCCAGCCGGGGCGGGGCGTAAAGCGCTACCTCCACTCGCTCTTAAGATCGACGGTGCTACGAAAGATGCGTCAGGGAAAGGGCCTCTATCGGATCCAGGCGGGGAGCGGCCCGGCGGCTCGCTCGCGCCGGGTGCGACGGCCCCCGGGAAAAGCGTAGGAGGTACACCGAGGAACGGCAGTCCAGGCCCCGGGAAGAAGGCTGAGCGGCGACGAATAGAGCTTGGACTGGGCCCGATGCCGGACGTCAATCTTAAGCGTGCAGAGGAGGTTGTCGCTCTCTCGGAAGGTGAGGCATGGGGCGATACCGGTGCAATTCTACGCCCTCCTTACACGAACACTTTCGTCCCAACGTTCCCCTGCAGAACATCTCACTCTACAAGCACTGCCGAATCTACGCAGCCTCTCACAAGAGATCAAGCAGCTCACCACGGGCACTTCATCCTTGCTGACGTATTACCTGACGCTCCGAGATGCGCATGCGGCCGATTCGGATACGTACAACGCCATGATCCGTGACCTCGTGGCTGGAGCGACATCAAAGTTCGCCGGCGGGGCGGTCTCGAGCAGCGGCGCGTCGAGCAAGGGCGGCGACCGGCGGGCGACGTCGATGGTGATTGGAAGCAGCATCAGCGCGAACGAGCCGAATGGTGGTGGAGGCGGGACAGCAGGTGGCGTTGTGGGCCTGCGCAAAACCAGCTCCACCAGGAGCAGCAGTGCATTTGTTGGCGGCGGCAGCCTCCGAGGGGGTAGTGGGAGCATCAAAAGTAACAGTGGCAGTGGCAGTGGAGGCAACACACCCCAACGATCGGCCAGTCCTGCGATAGGCGCAGGAGGCAAGAGCCCACTGCGATGAGAGATTGTGTAGTGGTAGTGTCCGCGATACCCTTTAATACGCAGGGTTCATAGGGACATGGTCTGATAGCCTGCTGAACCCCTTATGGCCTAATTCGTAGCCAAAGTACACTTCCTCCTTTGAGAGGGGCGTGAGGGTGCTCTCACCAACCTTTCATCCTGGTGGATGACGCCATGGCCTATGCTGCTATCCATGTGCGCCACATTCAAACATCAGACTCCGGCGGAAGCACTTCCTATGCTCCTTCATGCACGATATAAAGGCATGGCTTCGAGCGTGACACCGCTTCCGTCGGATGCTGAGAATCATGCGCAAAGAGCGTGTAGGATAAGAGCAAGGGAGATGCGTTGCAAAAAGGTGCTGAAGTCAGAAGGCATTCGGTGAGCCGCGAGATAAGTCTCGCTCGAGCTGAAGACAGGGAGGGGCATGGGTTACCTTGTGCTGATTGGAGGACGAGACTAATGGGAAGAGACGGAGAGCTGAATGACCCCGAATGGCCCCACTCAACAACTCACGGAACTCGGAACACCAAAGCACATTGCTACTTGCGGAAATAGCGGCGACTGCTTTTGTGGCTAGAGCCAGCGGACGCCAAGCGGTGGGTGATAAGAGAAGGTGCGACCGATCTTTTGAGAGTTTTATAGAGAGCAATTCTCCTTCGCACGCTCGACCTGCCCATTGGCTAGCTTGCCAGCATATGCGACGAAGGGATCCTGATCCTGCATCGAGAACACCACCCGTAATTGCAAGACTATTCCACGTCCACCGATTTGCTGCACAAAAGAGGAAAAGATAAAGGAAGACCTTCAGCAAGATGGCCACCACCCCGCTCGACATGGCGACGTACATACCACCGGACTCCTCTCAGCCCCCCGCCGATTTTGTCCTGCGCCTAACGGTCTCCGCCTCGATTCCACACCATCGCACGCCGCTTTCTCCTCTGCACTTCCTCCTCCGCGCGGCGCTGATCGTTCCGGACAAGCTTGCGCTCGTGCACCCAGAGAAGGGCTATCGCTTTACCTACTCACAGTGGGCCGCAAGGACGTTGAGTCTGACGTTCGCGATCAACCGTCTACCTGGCTGGAAGAGGGGTGAGAAGGTTGCGGTGATTGCGCCGAATACGCCCCTCATCCTTGAAGCGCACAACGGCATCCTCGCCGCTGGTGGCATCATCGTGCCGATCAAGTGCGTTTGTTTCCATGCGGGCACACCAATCCGGGTGCACCATACTGACTGATCTCCACCATTCCTTTCATCTAAAAAACCACAGCATACGAAATACACAGGCCGAAGTCCGCTACGTTCTCTCGCATGCCGGCGTGCGCGCCATCCTCGTCGACTCGGAATTCGAGCACCTCGTCCCACGCGACCCGCATCTGGACGGCGGCAAGGCGGGAGTGGCGGTGATCGTCTCTCACGACACTGGCGGACGCGCGGGGTCCATCGCCGATGCCTATGAGGGATTTTTGGCTGAGGGAAGGCGGTACTGGGAAGAGGTGCAGCGAAAAGAGCTCGAGGCGGTCAGGAACCTGGTTTTACCTGAGTATGCGGCACGCCGGGACTGGGAGCTGATCGAGGTCACGAGCAACGAGGACGAGGCCTGTGCGCTGTGTTACACGAGCGGGACGACTGGCAGGCCAAAAGGTGCGTGTCGAATTTTTACCTTTCGACAAGAAGTCTACGGATATAGACCCTGACGCATCTCTTTCCTACCACTGGTACCCACAGGTGTGCTCACGACCCACAGGGGCAGCTACCTCGCTGCTCTTTCCAATGGTGAGTGTCACTCGATTGATGTTCTAGTGCTTGATAATTCGGCTTTCTGAATCCCTGAAACTCTTACTTAGCATATGAGTCGAAGATCGACCGGTTTTCCGTCTATCTATGGGTGCTGCCTGCTTTCCACGCTTGCGGCTGGACATAGTGAGTGGCTGCACTCCTACCCTCTGAGGCACAGACCCATGCTGAAATTCAAACCCATGTTAATAGCGTCTGGGCGATCAACGCAGCATTTGCAACGCACTACATCCTGCGCAAGGTGGATTATGACGTGATCTGGCACGCGCTTACGCATTCAGGCGTCACGCACTACTGCGGCGCGCCAACTGTCCAACTTGCGATTGTCCACCACCCGGACGCCAAGAAAGTTAACGTGGACGGAAGAGGCGTCGTACGTGTCGCCGTGGCCGCGAGTGCGCCGACTGCAAGTCTGCTGGGCAAGATGGAGGCGCTCGGGCTGGAGCCTATTCATGTCTATGGGCTTACGGAAAGTTATGTAAGCCGCTAGACGATAGAGCCTCACGCGCGCGTGTGAATGTAGCTGATAGCCCTGGTATTCGGCGCGACAGGGACCCCTGGTTCAGCGCTATCCGGACCCAGAGTGGAAGTCGCTCAATGTCGATGAACGAGCTCGGTTGATGGCGCGCCAGGGTCACGGCTTCCTTGCAGCCGACGAGGCGCGCGTCTTCAAGCGACCTGAAGACTTTGACGGCGACTGGTCCAAGGTGCACGGCCCATTGCGGCCGGTCAAGCGCGACGGAAAGGAGCTCGGAGAAATTGCGCTGCGCGGCAACCTTGTCATGCTCGGCTACTTCCAAGACGCCGCGGCCACCAGCAGGGTCATGAAGGACAATTGGTTCATGACGGGCGACTTGGCCGTGCGCCATCCCGGCGGCGAGGTCGCCATCCTCGACCGCGGCAAAGACCTGGTCATTTCTGGCGGCGAAAACGTGTCGTCGCTGATGGTCGAGCAGGAGCTGGCTGCGCATCCGGATGTGCTGGAGTGCGCACTCATCGCGCGGCCGCACCCAAAGTGGTCGGAGTCCGGGCACGCGTTCGTAGTGCTCAACTCGTGCGCACTGCAGCGTGAGGGCGGCTACGCGAACGTCAAGAGCGGCGCCGCTGCCACTGCAAGGATGCACGAGAGCTTCAGAGCGCATTGCAAAGCCCGCATGAGCGGCTTCGCTGTGCCGCAGTGGTTTGAGATCGTCGACGAGCTACCGAAGACAAGCACGGGCAAGGTGCAGAAGAACGTGCTTAGGGAACGCGTCAAGGGCTACGATGACAAGCAGAGCAAGTTGTGATGCTTACTCTAATACGGAGAGCTTTGGCACTTCATAGGACTGTATATATTCAAAACGACTTTTCGAAGACAGTATGATGCAGTGGTGAGCTGGGTAAAATCCTCTGGAGACCTGTCAATGAGGTCTATCGTGTAGAGCTAAATGCGTAAAGCCAACGGAAATGGAGTTGATCCTGTCAACGAGTCATGCTCTCTTGCTGAGTACCACGCTATCGATTTGTAATTGACCTTTTGGGAGCACTTTTCCTAGCTTCTCTCTCAGGCCCCCTAGCTCATGTGTCTGGAAATTGCCGACACCTCCTTTGCCAGCAGTTCACCCTTGCTCGACTTACCCGCCACTTGCATCATCTTCAGCATCCCAAATGCGAGCATCATCTTTCGCCCATTCGATATTCGCGAACGGAATTTCCGCCTCGCTTCTTCCGGTCTCTGCGTCTTCGGAATCGCCGTCGCTGTGTGAGGGTTAGTGTGCGTGCCGGTGGCGTGCAACTCGTTTGGAGAGAGAGGAGGGCTTGCCGGCTCGGCCATCGTGTTGTTGGCGCCGCCACGACCGATGTCTGTCGTTACATTTCTAAGAATGACTATCTGTACAGTGCAAAAATCCGGTCCTTCAATCTGATTATGCACCAAACATCGAACAGCGCCGATGCTAACATATCCGTTGCACAAGAGGATGTGGGAAGTTCAGGTGGCGGTTGAGATACATTCAACTCTCCAAGAGCTTATTTTCTGCCTGCCTGTCGAGCTTCAACACGTCAACAAATTGATCCTTCCACTCTCTCTTGGATGACGATGACGATGCGGCTGTATGCTATCAGGTGATCAAGGCGACGGGTGGGATGTATGTTGAAGCCTCGAGTTCTGTCTTGTACCCTGGACCATCATCCTACATATATATATATGAATCGAAAGAGCGTCTCCGCGGAACTCGGGACTCGGAAGAAGCGGCGGGCACTCCACCACATATACCTCACTCCCTCGGCTATTGCCGCAACCGTAAGCTCGCTCCACAAGCTCCTTGGTCTGCGATAAAGACGCCATCTGTATTCTCTTTTTACACTTGTTACTTCTGACAAGCATATGGTATCTTGCTGCCATCATTGTCAGCTTGCCTTGTGAAGCAGCTTCTTTTGAAAAAAATGGCGTTCCTATCAGCAAGATCGGCGATGCGGGCCCAAGCTTGTGCGCCTCCAGCACGCGTCTCCGCTTCGACGGCGCTGCATGCTGGGTTACAGACTGCAACGCAACAACAAGCGCGAGCGTATTCTCAGGTGCAACTTCGGATGCATCCAAGACCGCCACAACTACGTTGCTACGTAAACTGCGTGCCCCGTGTTTCTGTGCGAGCTTTTTCGGCGCCAGTGCACCCGAACGGAGAGCCGCATGCCGTCCTCAGCTCCGCCTCAGCTGGGGCAGAAGATGATGGCATTCGCACGCTCACGCTCAACCGCCCAGCAGCAAGGAACGCTATCAGCCGACGCATGCTAGATGAGTTGCTCGAAGCCGTCAAGCAGGTTCGGTTCGATCGGTGTGTATCCTAGCTCCATCCAGTTTGTCGGCTTGTGGTAGGACTACTAATTGCCTCACGATTCGCCGCCTCCTGCTTTTCCACAGCCAAGCAAGAGCGCTCATCATCCGAACGTCCGCTCCCGGCGTTGCCTTCTGCGCCGGTGCAGACCTCAAGGAGCGGAGAAAATTCTCACCCGCACAGGTTGATGTATTTCTTGCTGACCTCCGTACTGCCTTTTCCGGCATCGAGCGTTTACCGGTTCCGACTATCGCGGCCATCGACGGCCTCGCGATGGGCGGCGGGATGGAGCTGGCGTTGTGCGCCGACTTGAGAATTGCAAGCGAGGACGTCAAAGGCCTCGGTCTGACAGAGACAAAGTTGGGCATCATCCCAGGGTGCGTTTTTCGATTGAGTTCGTGTTCCTTTACCACCAGTGGATGCACTCCACGCATGGATGTAGGCTGATACCTTGTCCTGTAATCCCTTGCACCAAACCCCTATTGCATTCGCTGCAGGGCCGGCGGCACACAGCGAATGACCCGCCTGCTCGGACCATCGCGCACGAAAGACCTAATCTATACCGCGCGACTGCTGACAGCAGCACAAGCGCACAACCTCGGTCTTGTGGATTATCTCGCGTCAGCCAACAGTGACAACAATAGTGACGACGTGCAGTGTGGATCAGCGTACAACAAGGCGTTGGAGATCGCGCAACAGATCGCAAAGAATGGACCGCTCGCTGTGCGCGCAGCCAAACTCGCGATCGACAAGGGCCAAGCGATGGACACGTGAGTAAGGCACAGATGGCTTCAATCGCGCCGCGGCACAGGTTGCTCACGCGCTCTCTTTTATCTCCCTCTCATCACTTCAGAGAGACTGGCCTAGACTTTGAGAGAGCCTGCTACAACACAGTGATGCATACCAAGGACAGGCTAGAGGGCCTTAAGGCATTCGCAGAGAAGCGAGCGCCCAAGTACATTGGAGAATAGCACAAGAGATTGTAGAAACGATAAGTTCAAGAGGATTCGTCTTTTGATCGCATCCACGCATGCAAAGCGTTTAGCCAGCCGCGCGAAAAGTATGCTACAGAAGATGGCGAAGCAATTAGCGGTTCCTGAAGAGTTCGAGAGCGATGCAAGAAGTAAAAGGTGGTCAACATTTAGCCCTGTGCATCTTGAAAATGCTAGTATGAAGTGCTGGTGCTCGACCTATCCCTTTATTTTCCACCTTCCACCATATTTGCCTCCGTGTGATGATCAGACAAGTTATAATGATTCCGGTTAAGGGGTTCTCCGCCATGTGACCCTTTGACAGGTCTCGGTTGAGGGAGTCCTGTTCTGTCATCCTTATATGACCCCGTTCCATTGTCTCCGCCTAGCTGACAACATCTACCCTGAGCAACGAAGCTCCTATCCCTCCTGATGCATCGATTCGACAGGAGTGCATTGAATCAACAAATTGCGCTAGTTACTCACTTGAAGTACTCCAACAGAACGTTCAAGCCCTCGCTTTCCTCGCCGTAGTCGCGGACAACGACACAGCTGCAGCCGACGACCTTCCGCGGGTTGCCCTCGCGGTCGATCTTGCAAAGACCGGCCCAGCTGAACAAAAGTGACGCAAATGAGCGAGATGTCTCAGTGTCGCGCAAGCCTTTGGACTAATCCTACGAATGTCAAAGACTACTCACGTGCCTAGAGTCTTGGCGTCGCTGACCTTGAGCAAGTCAATCTTGTGCTCGTTGCACAGAGCCTCAATGAGCTTGAGGTACTCCTGCTCGGTGCAGCTCTCGACGAGGACGCACAGGTGGGCCTGGCGCCTGTCGAGGGCCTTGGTGCACTCCCTGAGACCACGGGCGAGACCGTCATGAATAAGCGCCTTCTTGAGGACCTCTTGCAGAGCGTCCTCAATCTTCATGGCAGCCTTCGGGGCCGGAGCTGCATCGTCGGCGTTGGCAGCGACTTCCTCCTGGGGAATGTCGGCGGGGGTCTCCTCGACGTCAGACATCTTGAGCTGGTTTTTAGAATGAAGGTGAATCGAAAAGAGAGGAATGCTGCTTCTTCGACGGCAGAGTTGACTTAGAAACCGTCTCAGTCAGACTTTGCTTGGACTTCAGGCGAAATTGGCGATAGCAACCTGCGTGGAATTCTAGAAGTATGTGCTTGTGGTCCGGCGAATGGCTTGCTTGGGGGGCGGAACTGCGAGGAGGCAAATTATTGCGCCCAAATGGTCGCCGCAGCCATGGCTATCCACACCTTCCGCCCGCAGCCGCCGTGCCACCCCGGTCGAAGCCTCACGCGTGGAATGCTAGCAACCTCGATTGATTTCAGCTCAAAGGTTCCATTTTGAAGCATTAGCCCACGCCCAAGCCCATCACCCACATATTGACGGCAACTCGACATCGACAGGTGAGCATCCTCATGTCTGAAAGGAGGGTGCAGAGAGAAGCAGAGGTGGGATCGGTGCGGAGGATTTTGCGGTAGCTGGCACGGGTATGAAGGCTGGAGCTGGAAGCTCTGTTCGGAGGATGTCATCAGGAGACACGAGCAACCGTCCGACAGTGATGCCACCATCGTTCGTGATTTGATCTGCACCGTTCATTCGGTGCACCATGGCGCAGACGCAGGCTCATGAGACCGCGTGGGACGCTTTGCTGGCCAACTTGGCTGTGCCAGGGAAAGCCACAGCGAATGGAAGTCTGTATGATGATCGCGAAGGGTGGGCTCGACCATACCCTTAGGTTGCACGGTATTCGGGCCAAAACATGCATATGGCATGCGATAGTAGCTTATTAGATGGGGATACGAAGTATTGGGTGGCTGCAGGAATCACCAATACCGCCTCTGGGAACAGTGCACATCTCTGCGCCTTTCTCAAGTCCTTCGTTGCCTCCGCCGAAGATTACTGACATACGCCAAGTCTCTTTCCACCAGATTTATCGACAGTCGCCAAAATGTCCAAAGTCGAACTCGGTGTGCAGACGGAGCGTGCTTTCCAAAAGCAGCCCATCTTCCTCAACACTAAGCTCGTTGGGGGTAAGAAGGTCAGCACCCGAACCAAGAGGTGGCACAAGGACGTCGGCCTCGGTTTCAAGACTCCGCGAGCGGCGATTGACGGCAACTACATTGGTGAGTGGCAAATTCAACCACGTCCCCAGTCATCCTGCTGCTTGCCGATTGGCAAATGGAGTTTCTGGCTCCAAAAATGACGAGGGCTAGGTGGCTCGTGGGTAACGTCGAGGCATGGCATGCGGCCGGCTAGGGGAGCCTTCACAGAAGATACGAGTTTTGTGCCACAGGTGGCGCGCAAACCGAGCGGGCAACCTTCTCATGAGGTCTTTGTGGGAACGCGCTCGAAGTCGGGGCATACTTTACCGAAGAGCCGATCTGTTGGAAGGTCAAGCCGATAACTTTGCACGCGGGGCAATTGATGGTCTATTGCAGCAGGATGACGGCCTTCTAAAGGATGGTTGCAATGGTAGGAATGCTGATACGTGTTCCTTCCCGGTCACCGTGCGAGCAGACAAGAAGTGCCCATGGACCGGTCTCGTCTCTATTCGTGGCCGTATCCTTTCGGGTCGTGTCGTCTCCACCAAGATGCAGCGCACCATCATCATTCGTCGGGAATACCTCCACTTTGTCCCCAAGTACAACCGTTACGAGAAGAGGCACAAGAACCTTGCAGCACACTGCAGCCCTGCATTCCGTGTCGACGTCGGCGATGAGGTCACCGTCGGTCAGTGCAGGCCGTTGAGCAAGACGGTCAGGTTCAACGTTCTCAAGGTGACCAAGAACAAGGCTATCGAGAGGGCTGCCAAGCAGTGTGAGTTGGCACTTTTAGTAGCTCTGATGTAATTTGGGTTACGCCAGCTGACCTCTTTTCCAAATTTGCTTCGATGCAGTCGGTCGCTTCTAAGCGGCGCGCCGGTGGTACAACGAGCGTTCACCGTTCGTGTAGGCATCATCTAGGCTTTCATGCATATGCATTGTACTCTATACAAAAGCTTCTCTCTCGCAAGCGAGTTGGGAGAATTCGGCTTTTCTGTGCACGCTGCTTTCACCGGCTCCTGACTGTTTAGATGTGGTGCGTTATCCTCTCGCTGCAGCCTATAGTGGGTAGTCCATTATCGAGGGTAGGTAGTACTTGTCACTTCTCTGGAGACACCTTGCATTGGATGATGCCGTCGAGAAGTATCGATTCAGCAACAGTGTGCGAAGGTTGGAAGCTTGTCTGTAAGCTGTGCTAAGTGCAATGCTGTAGTTGTGTGCGGCAGTTGGGAACTTAATAGTGGCGTAGTGGCGCGCTTAATTGGATGAGAGAGGCTGAGCACGGATACGCGCCGGAACCAAAGCATCATCGTGTTCCATCATCTCAACACCTCTGGCTTCTCATCGTTGAACAGGCCTACTGCACTCTCTTCGCGTTGCCTTCAACGTCAAAGGGGCCTTAATAATCGCTGTAGACAAAGAGAATAGTCAGAAGTTCAGCACGATGTCCTTCGACTTTGACCCGCAGCCAGTAGGCGGCGCCGCTTCCGACCCCACCGCCGACTTCCTTGAGCGTGAGAGGCAAGCGCTCGGAGCGCTAGGAGGTGCAGATGACCTGATCAGTCAGGCAGGGGCGTTCAGCGGTGCTGCTTCAAATACCGCGGACGACTTTGAAAGGAGCGCCAGTAACTTTCCGGCGCTGGATGGCGCAGACGATGCTTTCTCTGGGCCTGCTGCTTCGGCGCCAGCACCAGCCCAGAGTGTTGTTGGAGATCTGTTCGGATTCGATGGTGAAGAGGACAAGCAGAAGTCTCAGTTCGAGAGCCAATACCCTGCTTTCAACGACCCTGACCTCGACACGCCAGTTCCGGCAACTGAGCCAGCAGCGACTTCTGTGAGTTCGGATGCATTCAAACAACTTTCTCGTGGCATCCGTGCAACGCCCCTTGTTATTGACTTGGGCGTGGCATGGACACGCTTCTTCTATATTAGAATGGCTTCTCATCACAGCCATCAACGATGAACCCACGGGCAAATTCAAATGGCGGTGACGATGATGACAGTGGCGAGGACCCAGCACCCATCCGGTGAGCCCGAACGATCATTTGCTACCTCTCCATAACCTGGCTCATCGCATTATCATACCATCTTTGCTCGGGAGCAGCGAGTGGCGCAGCAAGCAAGCAGACGAAATTGCAGCGCGAAATGCGCTCGCTGAACGAAAGAAGGGAGAGGCCATCTCTCGGGCGGAGAAGGAGACTGACACCTTCTATGAAGAATACAACGCAAAGAAGGAGAAGACCATTGCAAAGAACAAGTACGTCTTGTACCGTCCAAGGGCTTCGCTCTGCCCTGAGAACAGCTCGCTGACTCTAAGCGTCACAACGGAAATCTGTCCTGCTCTTCTCTTTCCTTCGTTACAGGGAGAATGAAGCGGTGTTCCGGGCACAGCGAGAGAAGGACTTGGCCGAGGGCACGACATGGCAGCGGGTTAACAAGCTTCTTGAACTGCAGAACGCCCACAGTAAGACCATCTCCAAAGCCCCCGCTGGCGCTTCGGACGTGTCCAGGATGAAGGAGATTTACCTGAACCTCGCTGAGGAAGGCGAGAATGCGCCCGGTGCTGCTGGGTACTGATTCTGTCTCTGCACCGCATGCATGCGAGAGGCGCAGGCCTTGTACTTTTCGGAGCCACTGTCGTCTCATGCGGAAATAAAGTCTCGTAGACAGACAAGCGGACACGGCTCACGCTGCCGATTCGCGTCGCCCGAGCGACCTTAGCCCATGCGTACCGGCTTTCAGTCAGGTGCACAGCATGATTGTCCACCTTTGCGCGGTGTGCGCGCCAATGCTTTGAATTGCTCTGCAATGATGATCTACTGCTTTCAAGGTGCAAAGGTTGAACGTGACAAATTGTATGTTGTATGTGGCACTCTAGGGCCGCTTCTGCATGCCCCTGTGCAACCCGCTGCCCCGCTGCCGGACGCTCAGACTGCGGCCGTTGAATAAGCGCGGCCCAGGTTGCCCCTGACCAGGCGCTTCTTTACCGCGCTGTTGCTGTTGCTCATGCACGGGCTTCTTGTTGCCAGTACTACGCCTTCGCCTGCGTTGCTTCTTGCCATCACCGCCAGCGATGACTTTGCTGCCCTTCGTACTTTTCGCTTTGCTACCTGGCAAGAACTCATCATCGTCATCGTCGTCAGCGACAGAGTCTTCGATGTTGTAGTCATCGTCGCTGCTATTGTCGCGAGCGCTGCCGTCCTCTTCGCTTTGATCTTCGTCCTCGCTTCCTGCAGCAGCGCCGGCGTGCTCGACGCCGCTGAAGCCCAGGGCTGAGTCGCGCTCGAGAGCCATGCCGACATCTTCATCGTCTGCCGCACTACTATCATCGTCGCTCCCGTTCAACGCGATCCTGCGCGGCGTGCCTTTGGCACCGCTAGACGGGAGCCAGCATGCTGCCCCCGCGGCACCATTTACCTTGGCACTTGATTGTGCTGCGCGCGCGAGGGCAGGCGAGGACAAGGACGCGTGCCCATTCGTGTCACTAGTGCGCACTTTCGAGGGGGGCGCGAAGTCAATCGGCTTGTGGAATTTCTCACTGCTTGCGCTCGGCCCGCCGAAGAAGTTCGGCGCGGATGGGTCGCCGGTGGATGCTGCTGCGGGTGTGAGGAGATCGTCGACGTATGCTGACGCCTGCCGCACCTTCTTGACTCCTGCACCACCTCCTTCTCCATTGGGGAGCGCAGCGTCGTGCTCCGTGTCTGCGAGCTTGCGCTTCAGCCCATCCGACTGCCGCTGTACCTCAATGGCGCCGATTGCCCGGAGCAGTGGATTGTGGTTGCTCGCCGCCGCTCCTGCTGCTGCCGCAATCTTGCCAAGCGCCGCGTTCGGCCCCTCAGCGGGGGACTGGTCGGTCTCACGCATGTAGAAGAGAATATATGCGCTCGGGTCGTCGAGATCGAGCTTATGGTTCCTGCTGACGAGATCATCGTCCATGCGCGCCCAACGCCCATGCGCGTCCTTGACGCTGGCAACGTAGTGCCCGCTGCTCGGCCCGCCGCCATGGTGGTGAATGATAGCGTAAAGCGCATACATGCAGCCGCGGCGCTTGCTTGTCCCCGGCGCCGGCGGCTCGGACATGAATGGCCCGACATCGAGGCGCTCCGGGAAGGCGACTGGCCGCGTGATCTTGCGGCCGGTAAAGCTGAAGCGCTTCAGCTGCACTGTCAGGATCGGTGGGACGACGTCGACGGTGAATTGCTTGATGGCGTCCACGCGCCGCTTGCACTTCTCGCACTTGTATTTGTCCGCCTGCGACGCGCCACTCCCGCCGCCGATCGGCTCGGCGCGTGTGAACTGCCTAAGCGCATCGACGACGGAGCTGATTGGCCTCATCGCGCCGCCGCCGCCTCCTCTCGTCCTTCCGCCACCGCCACTGGGGAAGGCAGCGCGCGCATTGAGGTCGAGTGAGATGTCGAGAAATGCGTCAAACGTATCGCTCGGATGCTTGCACGAGACGCACGTCACCCTGCTCCTGAAGCGCCCGCCGAAGATGCGGTTGATGAATGTGGAGCTCTTGATCGTCGCATCACGTGCGCGCGCCTTCGCCTCCGCCGTGGGCTCGCCAGCAGCGGTGGCCGGCTTTCGGATGGGCGACGAGGACGCCGTCACGGACGAGGGTGGCTGTGGCGGCAATCCAGCGATGCACTTGGCCTGCAGTGCCTCGAGGAGCAAGCGAAGGAACTCGTGCGCGTCCTCCTGCCTTCCCCTACGGAGTCCTTTGGCAAAGAGCGGCAGGTGGTCGTTGAAGGCCCGTGGGTAGATCGGCCTGTTGCCGCTGCCCCCCGTGCCGGCACCGGCACCAGCGCCAGCTGACTGCTGCCGCCGGACGAGGGTCGCTTCTGCGAGGCGTGCGAGCGATGCGAGCGGGTCAAAGGTATGCGTGCTGGCGCCATGCGATTGCGGTGACACCGCTGCTGAGGCTGACGGGATGCGCGCACGCCCTCGGAACGCGGCCGGCCCGGGGCTGACGGGCGACGTGGTGGGCGAAGCGTCTTTCATGGTGGAGGCGAGGGAGTGGAGGAAGGCGAGCTTCTGTCGGTTGAGCAGAATGTCGGCTAGCGGCGGCGTGTGCAGCAAAGCTTGGAGGACCGAGTTCATGTAGCAGGTGTTACCTGCGTCATGTTCCACGAGAGGGTGCGTATGCGAGCGAAGTGGACACAACAGACGGCGTGAGTCAGAACTATTATTTCCCCGCATCCACCGTGCTGCGGATGCGCGAGTACCCACCGTGGTTTCCAAGGCCCGTGCTGACCTGCGCAGAGTTGGGGAAGCGCATGGCAAGTGGGTAAGGCCAGAGGTCGATGAACGGCTCCGTAGCCGCATCGTCGGCCGTCGCTCGCCCTTTGCCCCTTGACGTGCCGTTCAGAGCCCTTGTGTCGTGCGCCTGAGTGGTGGCGGCTGTCGGCTGGCCGTTGACGCTGGCGGTTCCGTTTATAAAATAGGGCAGGTTGACGGGTATGAGGTTCTTGAGGCCGAGCAACAGGCCCGGCTGCTGTTGTGTGCTTGCCGCACCATCGCCCTCTTGTGCTTTGCCGTTGCTGCCGCTGCTGGCAAAAGTCGAGCTGCCGGCTATGCGCCGGGTCTTGACGAACCGCACGGGGTTATGGAGCAGCTCGTCGAGCGCGGCGAGCGTCTTGAGCGACGCCGTCACGTCCTTCTTGGCATTCTGACTCTGAGGATGGTTGGAGTCGATGCGCTTGCTGCTGACGCTATCCTGCGACTTGCTGCCTGCGCTGTCTGGCGCGAATGGCTCCTTGTGCCGCCTCTTCTTGTTCGGACTGCCGCTGTTGCCGCCGCCACCGTGTACGTCAAAGCCGGCTTGGCTGGGCGCTTGCTTGGCGCGTGACCATGACGCCGACGGCGACATAGACAGTGGTGACTGAGCGAGTGCGGGAGCCGCGACCATCATGTTCTGCAGTTGCTGTCCCACGCTCGCAAGTGCACACTAGCCGGCGGTCGCCTTGGTCGTATAAACTGCAGATGCTTGTCTCGCCCGTGTCCTTTACGCGCCGAGCAGCATGCGTGATGCACAGGTGCGTGGAGGGCCACCTGTCTATTCTGTATCTCCCTGCCTCGTCCAGAGTCTTTTTCGACACGGTCGCCCTCGTCTCTGAGGCGAGAGTGAGTGCGAGTGACGCGAGCCAAGACGCGCGCGCCCGCTCTCCCTCTCTCACTTTCTCTCCCAGCCTCTCACTGCTCTCGCGAGAGGCGCTCTGAAGCAACAGAGCCCTAAGTCTTCCCCTGCCGCCCACGTCGGGCTGCCAAGTGGCTGTGGTACTGGGAGTGCAGGATAGAGCGGTGGCTAGGTGCAGCCCACTCTCTGATGAAGGGCGAGAGGACACGCGACACGAACCTCTGACAGGAGAAAAAGAGAAAAAAATAGAAAAGGGTCGCACGTCAGAGACTTTGTCTCTTTCTTCCGATGACGGACGATACACAGGGAATATGCACAACCCTACTTTGCTGCAATCGTGCAGGGGTTGCCTGCCTCGAACGCTACCCTCTGCATACATATTCGCTGTGCTGATGTGCTTCGGCGTGCCTCTATAGCATAGCCAGGCATTGCCGGGGAGCTGCTTGGCCCCCTGCCACCCCAGCTGGGTAGGGCTGGGTAGGTTGGGCTGGGCTGTGTGAGATACGTTTGTTTGGCTAGCAGATACGAGTAGCCGTGGCCAGAAGCGCGGTGCATCGCGCGTCTATCATTCTGTATTTAGGGTGAGCGTTCGCTTTTTGTGACGGAATTCGCTTTTCGGAATTCGGCGCACAACATCATAGAAGAGAGAGTACAACCCGCAACTCCCCCATATGACCTACCACCTCTCACCCTACTCAACGCGCTCCCAATCTCTGTACTCTCGATCAGCCCTCGCGCCATCCGCGACGACCACTCTGCCATCTACGCAGCACGGCCACCGCCAGGTGCATCACGCTGCGGCAGCCAGCCAGTCATAGCCAGCTGCAGCGTGGGATGCCAGTGCCAGGCGAGTGAGGACCGAGCCCAGATTGCGTTGCATCCGCCGCGCTCAGCAGCACGTTTTATCTTGTTCATCCGCCGCGAACGCGTCTAGTCCCCCGCCAGCAGCAGCCACGGTAGCCGCAGAGCCATCCTAGACAGCATGTCCGGCGCCAGCGGCGATTTTTCCCATCTTGAAGACACGGCAGCTGCAGAGGCGGCCATTGCTGCTGCCGCAGTTGCCGCAGCTGGCCTGTCGCAGCACCAGCACCAGCAAAATGGCAATGGCCACAGCCATGTACAACACGGCAAGCAGCAGCAGGAGCAGCCAAGAAGCCGAAGTGGTCGCGAAGACATCGTGTCGCCGCCTCCACCCCCGACAGCCGAGGAGGCGCTCGTGGCCGAACAGCAACAGCAGGAGACTTCAGAGCGCCAGCAGCAGCATGCGCAAGGCTCTGGCTCGCAAAGCTATGATCCCCACTTTGGACATGCACAACAGCATCATCCAGAAGTCAACTCGCACGTACCGCTTCCCGGCACGCCGGCACATGCGGCGCACGCCGCCTTACAAGGGACGCCAAGCCTGAACGGCACCGAAGGTGGTCCACTCTCCTCCACTCCTGTGCACGACCACAGCTTCGGCCAGAGCTTCCAGCAGCATCCCCATCATCACGACCAGAGCATCAGCCACAGCCATGGAGGTGGTGGTGGCGCCGCCGCCGACACGTCACTGCAGCTGAGCGAGTCAATTGGGCGACACCTGGGCCCCGGGCGTGCCTGCGGGCGGTGCCGGGAGCGTAAATTGCGCTGCGACGGCGAGAGGCCGCTTTGTGGGCAATGCGCCAAGGTGCGCCGAACGTTCGAAACGAAGAGCCTCAAGACGGGCAAGCCGCTGGACGAAGAGAGCTGGAAGGGCCTCTGCGTGTACAGCGACAACCCCGTGAGGCGCAGCGCGAGCAAGCGCAAGGACAAGGACGGTGCCCCGACGCTCCTCGGTCCCAACGGTACGCCGTTGAAGAGGACCAAGAAGGACAGCCAAGGTAAGTGGCTGATTCACATCGCATCGCGCATGCGCCCGCGCTCATCATTGCCTCTTTTTGTGTGTGTATGTGTGTGCGTGTGTGTTTTGCATTGCTATCGGATACAAAAAGGAGGAAAAGGAGCAGCCGACTACACTGCCGGGCTGCAGCTTATCGCAGACGCCGCGCACGGCGTGGCGAAAGATGGGAGGGGTACGAATCTGCAAGGCGGTGATTCAATCGGCGGCGCCAACGGCCACGTCGGGACATATGGGCTGCCGTTGCGATCCGCAGATGCATCGACCTCCTTTGGTCCACGCCATTCGGGCGACGGCGTCCCGCCGCCGCCGCCGGGCGCTGGTGGGCAAGAAGACGCGCAGGGACGGCTCTTCCGTTCGATCATGGACTCGGCCGCCGCGTCTGCCGCTGCACCGCTGCAGGCACACACGCTTTTCCAGCAGCAACAGGCTGGCCCGGGCGGCTATGGCTTCCATGCGGCTGCGACGGCGGGGCCCGTGACGCGCATAGTACCCAACGTGAACAGCCACAGCCTGGTTGAGAAAAACCTGCAGCGCATGCTCCCGCCGCCGGACCTGCTCGTGCGGCACGTCCAGCTGTTCTTCGATACGTTCCCTTTCATGCACGTCGTACAGCCGGCGCGCTTCGTCGGGCGCGTCGTCGAAGGCGTCGACAGCGAGCGCTTTCCTGCCGCGGCGCTGCTGCACGCCATGCTCGCGTGGGTGTATACGTTCCAGCCGGGTGACGCGCAGCCGTGGGACGCGCATGCTGCCGCGCTCATGGGCTACGATACGGGCTTCTTTACATTCATCTCACCCGCCGCCATCGGCCTCAGCACGCCCAACTCGACCGCGCCTTCGTCCGCCGACGGCAGCGGTAGCGACCGCGTCAGCACACTCGCACAGGCCGTCGCGGAGAACCCCGCGGCGCGCCATGCGTCCTTTGCCAAGCAGGGCGTTTGGGCCTCCTTCAGCGGCTGGCGCCTCGACGTCTGCAACGCCTCGATCGTCTTGGGCCAGTGGCTCTACGCGACAGCCAACCTGCCCGACTCGTGGATGCAGGCAGGGCTCAGCCTGCGCGCGTGCGTGCCTATCGCGCTGCACAAGAGTCGCAAGCCCGCGCCCGAGGACGCGGTTGTCGGCGCAAGCGGCGGCGGCGCGGGCGGTGGCAGCGGGGCGTCCGCCGGCCTGCCGGGGCCGTCGAGCGGGTACAACGTCTACGGCTCCATCGCCATTCGGCCCGACCCCGGCGCCGGCGGCTCGTCCTCTGCGACGACGGCACACGCGTCTTCGTCGTCGAGTAACGGCAGTCCGCGGCGCAGCGTCAACCTCAACGTGCCCGCGGCGCTCGGCCTGCACCCACCCAAGGACTGGATTGAGGAGGAGGAGCGCCGGCGCACATTCTGGATCGCTCTCGCCAGCGACCGCACCAGCTCGTCCACGACCGGGTGGGCGTGCAGCTTTGCCGAAGAAGACGTGCTCGTCGAGCTGCCCAGCGCCAGCCAGGAGGAGTTTGCCGCTGGAGATGTGAGTGTCTGTCGTTTGCTATGCTATTTTGGGGGGATCACAGCTGACAGCAGGGATGGTGTTGCTGGCAGCCAAATGTACCCCCGCCCGGGTCAGAGCAGCTAGTGTCAGACCAGATGATCGACGACGTGGACCTATTTACGGAAAAGTTTGTCGACGGTCTGGGGCTCTACATCAAGGCGTGCGTGTTGATCGGGCGCGTCGGGCGGCAGCTGTTGCGGCTGCCGACCAAGCCATTAGAGAGCGAGTACCGGCGCATCTTTTCGAGCGGGATTGAGCAGGACGTAGACCGGTACGACGAGAGCATGCGCAACTTTATCCAGCACAGCAACCACGCCACCATCATGGGCGCCATGACCGCCGAGCTCGCGACGACGGCGCAGCTGATGGTGCAGGTGTGCCGGCTGCTTATGTATGAGCCGCTCATCCCGTTTGACAATGCGGCGGTCGCTAAGACCGACGAGGCATGCACCCAGGCGGTGGGCATCATCGTGGTGAGGTCTGGAGCGGCGTTCGGATACACGTGCGGAGAAACATGCGCGTGCTGACGTTGCCCCCCTCTGTGCGTGTCTGTGCAGAATTATATCTCGCTGCGGCACCCTCCCGTGTATAGTTGGTGCGTCGCCCAAGTCGCGCGCACGATTATCCGTCAGATGGAGGCTGGCGAGTGCCGGTCGCGCGAGCCGCACACGCACAACCCGAACGAGATGGCCGAGAAGCGGGCGCTGCACGATCGGTTGCAAGTGTGCTTGTAAGTGCTGGCTGCACGCAGGACGTTGGGGCTGTGCAGGGCGCGCGTTGGCTGACGGATTGTCCCTGCTGCTGCTGCTGTGTGTGTGCAGGAACTACCTCAAAGAGTACGGACGCTACTTTGAGCTAGGCAACTTGCAGCTGCGCGGCCTGGCGCGGCTATTGTCATGCATTAGCTCGCATCCGGGGAGCGACCCGCTGAATCTGTGCAACGCGGGCGACATGAGCCTGTACATGCTCGCCAAGGGTATCGACCCCCTGGTGCACAAGCTGTCGCGCAGCGACGTGTACAGCGACAATGCGGTCGCCGCGGCTTCGTCCGAGCGCTGATACGAGTCGGTTCTCCTCTGGACGAATGCAAGAAGGAATCAAGGAACGGAGAGGCACCGGGCTGAGGTTCCGCTCCGCTCCACTCTGGGCTTGGCGGGGGAGGAAGAGGGCTATTGTGTACGCCGCGCTATACGTTGCCTTTGTATGTGCGTCTGTGTCGGCACGTTCGTCCGCTGTGTGCGAACCGCTGACGGTGTGAACGGTGACGCGGCTGTATTATAGATTGCATAGCATACCACTTTCGCGTGCTTGCAGCAGACCAAGCTGCCCAGCGATGCCTTCTTCCACCGTCTTTTGTGGTACAGGGTGACCGAAGAACCATTCTCGAGCTGCCTGGCCTGCTGGCTGGATGGTGTTGCCATGTCTGGTGAGAAGTGGGATGGGGAGCCACCAGCTTATCGGCCGGTAGATGTCCCTCTTTTGACGTAGCCGATGAACAGTTGGGCCGCGGCTGAGCTGTAGGCAAGAAGAGTCACATAGTATATAGTATTTCATAGTATGCTTACTGTGCCATAGTATTCCAACCCCACACTCCGCCAACGTGAATCAGTGCTGCGAGCGACGAGAACGACGTCGAGTCACACGTTGGACACTGGATCGTCAGCAACAACACCTCGCCCACCTTCGTTTCGCACCATCTATGCATTATCCTTAGCAGCCTACCCATCTTCCCGACATCACCGACATCACCGCCACCGCCCAGAAGCTGCCCGATATGCCGGGGAACACGCCGTCATCCGCCGCTCCCCCAATATTGTCGTCATCGTCGTCGGTATTGATTGCATACATAGCATCATAGCACCCAACATGGCCCTCCCAGACGCCAAGAACGACCACTCGTCGGAACCAGCGCCCGAGGTAGCGCCGGGAGCAGGAGAAGGGGCCGCAGCGACAACCGCCGCGCCGCCATCCTCATCTCCTTCCCCTTCACCTTCAGCATCTTCATCGAGCGAAACGGACGCGCCAGGGCACTCGACCATGCCGCCGCTCGACCGCAAGATCAGCCGCAGCGAGGCGGACCTGCAGCGCTTTGCCCCGCACCACTCCGCCCTTCCCATGTTCTTTTATCTATTCTCCTTTGCCCCGCCGCTCCTGCCGCCTCCCTCCTCGTCGTCTAAGATCAGCACCGTGGGTCGCGTGCGCGCACTGGTAACCCACCCGCTCACGCTGTACCTTCTCGGCGTCTTCGCCGCGCTAGTCGCCGGCATCGGCATGGTCAGCCTAGATCTCATCTACGGCCGGCTCTGGTCTAACTCGATCACGCGTGCAGGCTCGACGCCCCATACGATCCAGAGCAAGAGCGATCTCAGTGCCGGACTCATCGCTGCCGTCGGCCTTGTGCAGTGCCTTGCCACATGGCTCTTCCTGACCTGCTGTGAGCCGTGTTCTTCTTTAACTGCTCGCGCGCAGGCGCCTCCTTACTAATCCGTGACATCTACCATTACCACCCTGCCCGTGCGCACGCCCCCACCAGTCTCGGCCGGGGCGCACCTGCTGACGGTGCGCCTGCAGCACGCATATGTCGCGTCGGTGCTCGCACAGGACAGCACGTACTTTGACCTGCACGGCGCGGGAGAAATTGCGACGCGCGCCGGCAAAGAAATCAACGCGGTGCGCGTCGGCTTTGGCGAGAAGATGGGCTATGCGGTCTGGTCGACGTCGACGCTGCTAGCGTCCGTCACGTCCGCGTTCGTCAACGCGCCGCGCGTCGCCGGCGTCCTCTTCACAGCGATCCTATTCCTGCTTTTCGCGTTCGCCGCACTTGCCGCGCTCACCGAGCTCATCGGGACACCCGCACTACGCCTCGAGGGCCTCGCCGCGAGCCTCCTCGAGCAGATCCTCGCGTCCGTCCGCGTCGTGCAGTCGTTCGGCATGGAGCAGAACTTGCTCACGCGCCTCGACACCGACATTCTGCACCGCCTGCAGCGCTTCGGCATTGGGAGGGCCTTCGTCCGCGCCGCAGAGATGGCCACCATCTACTTTACCCTCGCCACCATGTACGCGCTCGGTTTCCACTGGGGCAGCGTGCAGATTGTCCAGCACGGCCTCCCCGTCGGCACGGTCCTTGTCAGTTGAGCCATCTCCCTTTCCGTCCGAGCTGCGCTGCTGACGCCCGGCTGGCTGGCCGGCTTACCCTCCCACCTTTCGCAGACCGCCTTCTGGAATATATTCAACTCCCTCTTCGCAGTCACCAACGTCGTCCCACATCTCAGCGGCATCTTTGACGCGTACGTCTGCATCAAGACGCTGCGCGCTGCCATCGAACGCCAGCCGGTCATCGACGTGCGCTCGCCCGATGGCCTTTGCTTCAGCGGCGACGACGACGGAGTAGCCGGTAATGTGGCTACGACGGCGCCAAGCATCGAGCTACACGACGTCACTTTCGCCTACCCCGCGCGCCCGACGGTCGCCTCACTCAAAGAGGTCAGCATGCTCGTGCAGGGCGGCAAGGTGACCGCGCTCGTCGGGCCCAGCGGCAGCGGCAAGAGCACGATCGTCAGCCTGCTCCTGCGCGAGTACGACCCGCACATGCTGCCAAACCCCGCCGACAATGAGGTCAGCAAGTTACTCGACAAGGCCCACGGGCACGGCACCAAGTCCAAGCAAGAGGGGGGGGAGGAAAAGAACAGGGCGAAGCAAAGCTGGCTTCACAGGTTTACGCCCAGCAAAAGACGCAACGATATGGCATCCGAGCAATCAGACGAAGGTCAGGTAGAGGACATCGACATCGAGAAGGCCAAGAAACCGCCGAGCACCCGCGTCACAGGATCTGGCCGCGTCCTCTTTGCCGGGCACGACATCCGCGAGTTGAATCTGGCCTCGCTGCGCTCGCAGATCTCTGTCGTGCAGCAGCACCCAGCTATCTTCACCGCGTCCGTCTTCGAGAACGTCGCCGCGGGCCTGACGGGCACCAGCCTGGCGTACCGGCCGGACGTCGACGGTGCGCCGGACGCCGACGCCGTGACGCGTGCGCGCACCTGCGCCATCCGCGCCCGCGTCGAGGACGCATTGCGAAAGGCGCAGGCGTGGGACTTTGTCGCCAGCCTCCCGGACGGCATG